TTGGAGAATAATTAATACTTCAAATACGTTGGATTATTATACCAATTTATTTATTGATTGTTTTTTTTTTAATTTAATGATTATACTATATATTATTGACTTTTTTCTCTTTGATTTCACTATGAAAATTTCAAAAATTTGCTTTTTCTTTATTACCACGGTATTTTTCGATTTTGAATTACTCGCTCGATGCTGACTCGATTTTTCAGGGTAGAGTCAAGAGTGAATAGGAAAAACTTGAAGGAAAGAGACAGCAAATAAAACCGATTGCGATAGCGGCCCAAGGGTTGGATTGGATAGAAGTGAAGAAATGGTAGGAAAAAAAAAGGAAATGGATGAAGTGGATAAAGTGGATAAAGTGGATGAACCACTTCAAAGGAAGACACCGATATGGTGCCGTACCGGTATAATAATAGTACGGTAGTTTGAGGTTAGGTTAGTAAAGTGAAATGGCTGCTAGAGGCAGCAGCGGGCACTCAGCTCGTATATATTATTCAAGTGATACAGCTCACTTCAGAGTAGTTCAGTATGCTTAGAGCCAATGATCGATCAGCCCTTAGATGATAGGTATTTAAGAACACGCGCCGGTCAATTTCTACCTGCTGTCAGAATCACTATAGTTGAAAAAATTGAATTTCCTTATAATACAACCCCTGGGCTCTGGGTATACATATATCAATTTTCTCAATTTTAATATAGGGGTTGGTATGCATTTTTTTAAGATATCCATTATATATACATAAACTATACAAGTACTATACAAGTGTATATTTTCTTTATTTTTTGTCCTTTATTAAAATATCCCATTTCCTCCTGAAAGATGTTGGCTTTAAATTTTTCATCGATTATTCCCTGGCTCGAATCCTGAATAACGTATAAGGGCGTTCTGCAGATACGCGAGAATGACGGAAAACAGAAAATAATAAAAGGGACCATTGTTCCTGATACTAAGGGTTGAAAAGGTACGGGGCGTGCATACGCGTCGCCAATTTTGACGGCCATTAATCCTGAATGAAAGCGGCGATCTCGTGTGCGCACAGATTGCGTACACCCACACAGGAAGTAGTTCTTGACCGTTGTCCAAATAAATAGCTGACAAACAAAAACAAAGACAGGAAAGCTGCGCTTGGTCGGGCAAGACAAAAACCGGGCAGATCGCAAGACGCCCGAGATGCTCTCGTATTCCGAATCAAAATTTTGGGCAACTGGGCAAAGTGAAGAAACACAATAACATCCAGCGTGAAATATTCGAGCGTCATTCGTTATTACCTCAAACGTCAAAAAATTAATACTTTATTATTTCACCACAAAACACCATTGCCTTAGGAACCACATCGTGCGGTATATAAAGATACGAAATGAATTTACGAAAAAATCTTTTTCATCTCGCGCTAAAAAAAATCAGAAATTCAAAAATAATTATTTTTCCTTTTCCTCCATTATACCAATCGTCAATATCGTCAATCCAAACGTGGGTATATGAAATTACTTTTTTTCATTTTTTTTTAACTCTGTTATGGGACACCCGCAAAGGGTCCAAATTCCAAATCTCACATGTGTCAATATCCCATTTCCTCATACTTGACGTTTTTCCTCTTTCCTTCCTTCAACCACTTTTCAGCTTTACCTTACCTCATCCTGACTCTTTCGTCCCGTTCACCATCTCTGTCATTTTTCTCTCTCTATCTTTCCTGCATCCTTTCTGCCTCCCTTCGTCTTCACCAGCCCCCCCCCAACCTCCTCCATTCCCCTCGTCTATCTCTCGTCTCCCCATTTCCTCTTTTATCTTCCATCCTCCTTTCTGATTTTACCCCCTTCCCCTCCCCTCATCACTCTTCAAAAGATAGCTTATTAATTTCTTAGAGAATCTAATGCAACGAATCACCGTATATACGTGAGGGCGCTGCGGAGCAGCCACCGCGCAAAAGCACGTGGCTCTGTATAAAAAAATAAAGATACGTATGTAAATTATAATAAAAGTTTTATAAATCTTTAAAATATGACAGGTGGATGATCGAGATACAAATTGCTACGTGGAATATTGATAAATATTATTTTTTACAATTTCCATAAAATTTTAATTACAACTTTTCAAAAATTCTTGTATACAGTCGACAGGTCTATTTCGACGAATAATATTCTTGGAGATCAAAAGATGAGATAGAGAGAAAAAGAAAAAATTTTGCGACTTCTGTAAATCACGTGATATCATGGTCTATAAATCAGATGGATTTTTCGTAGTGGCAGAAGATAAACTTTTTTTTTACGTTCTTACAACTCGACTGTCGTGAGATACAGTCGCTTCGCCATCGTGCATATCAATGCAAGCGAGACGACGAGGAGGACATTTTCTATTATTACACTTCTAACTTCGTTATGTATACATATACATGTATATACGTATATAAGCTCAGGCGGTCACGGAGACATCGCCAAATTTGAATTCACGATAGCGTCCGGAGGCGTCGGAAAGTTAGCTGCCGGCCTGATATGACGTATTCCGGCGTCCATGTTTGTTTTATGTCCTCGCGGGCCCGGGGTCTTCTGGAGCGAATAAACTTTTAGTATTAAACTTCAAGTGGCAGATGTGCTTTGGATAATTCCGTCCGCGTCACGAGGACATTTGTTATCCATTGAACTCCGTGAGGATTTTTCCACGCTTCACATTCTTCGCCGTTCGAAGAAACTATTCATGTGTCTATACATCGACGCGAAGAGAGAAAGCAGAAAGATTTTATATACCACGTGAAACGAGCTAAAAAGTTTTAGGTATTTTTGACTATTTGAAAAACGCTCGACAGCGACGTGCCGCGGCGTAGAATCAAAGCGCCGAGTCCCATCGGCCGGTCGTGAAAACTTTTTGTCACGCGAAGACAGCGCCACCGGCGGCACAACGGGACGCTCTGAAACTCATTTGTCGGCAATCGAAAGACCGTTAGCCCAAAGTAAACTCGGAGTAGACTGCGAGTGGTCCAGTGCAAAACTGTATTATTTTCGCGTGCCGAGGAGCAAGTTAAATTCCCGTAGTTCCCGTAAATCATTAACTTTGAAACGAACAGGTTAACGGGAGCAAAAGAAAATGGCGGTCAAGCGAAACAGACGATTATTTCGCAACCCCCGACAGGTCAGTTAACTTAGATTACACTGGCCGATAGGTTCTTTGATTTTTTGCAATTACGCTCGGAACTTCCGATTGTCGTGCGTTAGGTTAGGTTATAGAGGCTGGTCGTTAAGTTGCGAATGGGGTTAGGTTGGGTATACGGAATGTTGCCGGTGATGCCGTAAATACGGTTATGGCTGCCTCTACTCTTTCGAGCTGGTCAAAAAGCTCGAGCCTGGCGCGCCATTTGTAAGTTGTATTAACGTTGACCGTGGACAAAAAGCTCTCGCCTACAATTCATCCGCTGATGAGCTTAATCTAGATAAATAGAACTTGGCTGTACCGACAGAGTAGCTGAGCCTGAGAGCTGGATGGACAGAGGGTCGGCTTGACTAATCTCCCATTGCCGCTGCTAGCAACATCAGTGGCCTCCACTCTTCCATCCAGAACGACCATCGAGATCTCTCTTGCTCTTTTTCCTTCTCTCTCTCTCTCTCTCTCTCTCTCTCTCTCTCTCTCTTTCTCTCTCTCTCTCGTTCACCATTCCCTCCAGCCTAATCTCTCTTACTCTCTCTCACTCCTTCCAACCGGCTCTTCTCTCCCTCATCCCCTAAGAAGTAAATTACCCTTCGCGCTTTAGATTACATTTCCAGGCTTTCCTCTTGAATGTGACTAATTTAATTGCGGCAGATCCCATCCGGATAGTTACGTTTGACATGTGTAATCTAACCGTTTTATCTATCATTAAACCTCAATTCCATACGAGTCCTTATCAATTTTTTAAACTTTTCTAAGGCTTTACGGTGTCTCCAATTCAATTCTGTACACCCTGTATAATTTTGACTCATTCAAGCAGATTATTGTCATATCCCAATTACCTGCAGTAAAATTCGTGACGTCAAAATTTTTTGTTAATAATTAAGAAAATTTTTTTGCAATTTATAATAAAAATAATTAGCCATTTTTTGTTGTATCTTGCGATTCCTAAATCTTGACTCCAGTTGTTTCCTTACTAGTTGTAAGTTTACCGTGCACCATTTCTGTATGACATTGCTGAGCTAACTGGTAAAAGTCTTTCAGAGTCGCGCAAAAGAGATTCGGCGCGCAGCAGCAGCGGCTCCACGGCTCGAAATTGAATTGGTGGTACCGTAAGCGGGGTTACTCCACTTCGACGATGTTTACGCCGTTGTTTGCGAACTTGTTAGCTTCCTGGTAATGCATACAGTCGGTTGGCTAGAGTCAGTTTAGTTTCAGCGAGTACTTCTCGACCTCGAGCACACAATTCTATTCGTGTTAACATAATGATATTGCTAATTTATGCATCGGCGCTCTCGTTACCGGCTCACCCCACCACCACGGCAAAGGGGGGGTGCCCTCTCCCACCCTTTTACGCCCCCTCCCTATCTGTTACTAATTAAGCGTTGTAAAGCGGATATCCGGCGTGATAGTACGAAATGCGAGCGGAATACGTAAACGTAGAAATTAACATTGGAAACGTGGCGACATCTATCGACGAGTTAATCGGATTTATTTCGTAAACATTGCTGGATCCACTTTGCGATTAAGAAAATATTGATTCTGAAGATAAGGTTTGATTTTCAACATTTTTAGTAAAATCGAATCTACAACGAATGATAAAAAGAAGTCAAAGTGAATAATGCACTCACATTCGTTAATACGTAATGCGGACTTATGGTCGGATGGAATGCATCAGTGCCGGAGGCGGCATGAATTGCAGAACTCAAAATCACGTCGAGTGAGTGAATAGCCGCCATTTTGCTCGGGTCGAGTGCTTGAAAGCTTCTTTGCGTGTGGAGAGTTGATTTTCAAATAAAGCGACTTCTCATAGTGACTCACCGCGTTGTTCGGGTAGGTTAGGGTATTTGTGAATTGGACGAAGTGATTTTTAAGTAACTTTTTTCGTCTTTAGGAACGCCGATGATGAAGATACATGGCCCGTGAAGGTCGATAAGCATCGACGATCATCAGTGAGAATCAATGTAGACCCTTGACGTGAAAACAAGGCCGTATTATAAAGTTCGTGAAAAAAGCTCAATGTTTTTATATCTACCCAAGCATTTTTATCATTCCTTACTCCCTCTCTCCGCACTGAAACCCATTTGAAAGTCTGACGTCGATTATTGTCGGTGTTACGCAACGGTGGGGGATGCTGAAATCCAATTGGACCATGACGTCACTGGCGCCCACGTGAAACAGCTTAAGCGCTTTAGCAATTTGCAAAAACGTCCAGGCACGCTGCGTAGAAACTTTCCACGCTCCACCTCTTCCGAACCTCGGATCGCCATCTTCTTTCGTGACTTTTGCGTCCCGACGTCGACACCCGTTTCTTAATACCGACGAAGAAAAAGCTTCGAGGACTCCGTATCCTATCGAGTTCCTCTCCGTTCTTCGATTCCCAACGAGAATCTGATAAGAGACAAAAATCTCCGTCAGAATTCACCAATAAATGCATTACGTGTTATTCTCGAACGAACTTTGAACGTCGACCGCAGCGCCACCGCGGCGAGACTGGTAACTAAATTCTTCGTAACGCCCTACTACGTGTTGAACACTCTATGGTCGATTCTTCCTTTTTCTTTCTTTCTACGCCATATTCAATGTTCTGCGAGAGAAAAAAGAAGTTTAATAACGATTCACGTATGATCCAATTGAAGTAACTTGACAGCTATGTACGTACGAATTGACAATGAGCGGAAATCTAACAGCCGGTAATTGTCATCATGCGAGACTGATCACCGCATATAAACAAGATCAGAAGCAGATGTCACTGGTTAACCCGTCTATGTAATCACAATGTACGTACATACGTATCCCGCGACGTTCTACCTATATACAATAGCCGCTGGAGTATAGTATATGCTATCGCGGTATGTACTGTACCATATACTAAGTGTATACGTCAGTAGTGGAGATTCTGGTGTGGTCATGATTCCACGCATCTGGGACATGCACACTTGGAATATCCAAGGAAACAATCCGACTTGACTTAACATATCCGAACTGTCATTCGACACTCGAACAGTTCGAACGGCCTAACAATTATCGTTGCCTACTTATTTTAATTAACTTCACGCAAAATTAAGTGTGAATGAAAAATCTCTCTCGTTCACTGGCAATCAGTTGGGGATAATTAGTCGTTTAATGTATTCACTGTTTTAATTAAAGGCGTGTCCGCGTACTCATTTATTTTTAATTGTTTCCAAACTAATGAGGAATGTCGAACATGACGTAACGGAATATTCTAACTTTTCATTGTCGGGTAAAAAAATTTTTTTTATTTACAAAGAACACCTTTTCTACCTACGATCTAAATTAATTACGTGAAATACTTAATAAATAGGTTTTTTTGAGTATATGTGTATTTTTACCGTAATATATATCTATATATACTTCTTCGAGATTACGCAATTAATTATCCCGACTCTTTCTTCGTTATTTCGATTGGGATCGTAATTTCTCCTCGGCGACCTTCTGACCTCAATTGCCCGGACAAGATGGCCGCACGAAATCTTTAGTACATTTTTCAAGATCACGTAATTGAAAAAGTCAACCTACTCGCGTTCTTGCGACGTGCCGTTATCTCTCTTTAATTTGTTTTTATGTAAATATCGAAGAAACGTCAGTACGCCGGAAACAACTGATACCCGTAGATATACGTTGCTTTAAACGATACACGGAATATGTAAATCAACGAGGATACGTATCAGAATTATATCCGATATCGAATTGGAATACAGTGACATATTTTTTGTTCTATTAGCCAAAGATAAATGGAGTTTCGTTAAAAAAAATATATGTATACGTAATTTATAACGTTTCCTTCCTTACAATTAATTTTAGACTTCCCACAACGCTAATATAACGGAATATAATTTTACCGTAGATTCATTGATATACAAGTATACTCGCAGAGCATGCCGTGCCAAGTCTCGCGAATATTATACAAAATATATGCATCTCATATTTATACAAATTTTTTACAGTCCAGTACCGCACGTATAAAGAGATATAATAAAAAGCTCATTTTCACGAGACTTAACCACGCAGCCACCGTACCTCTCGCCAGTCCTTTCATACGTTTAACATTCTTCTACTAAGAGACAATAGACGTAGAAATATTAACGGTTAAACTATATCCATGCAATTTTTATCTACGATCCTGAACGCGTTGACACGACGGGAAATTCAAAAAATATATAAAAATGCACATTCGTAGGGCAGCGGGTATGTATAGACGTATATAATATATATACACACACGTCTACAGTGCTTACGATGCATGGAGCAAGAGTCAGTAGATACAGTGCATCATCGATCAGCCAGAAGAGGTAGCGTTAGTAGCAGAAACAGGCAGTATAGGATCTGGGTGAGTGAACGATGGAATGACGTCAGGGATAGGGCTGGGAGGGAGCTAGAGTTTGGTTCGAGTCAGTGTGCACGGTTTGATCAACTGGTCTGCCGGCCCTATTTCCTCTTACTATCAGGAGGAAATTGCTACTTCATCAGCTGGACTAGTGCGAAGATTAATGCCCGTCGCTGTCTTGCCATTTGCACGCTCAGCGTTGTCAGCCACGCCGCCATCGTTTCTCTCTCAAGTTCGATCTCATTCCTGTTCCCTGGTATAGCCGTATCGTAGCGAGAGGACACCCGGAAAATCCCATCGATATCCTGAGAAAAAAGAAAAAAAAATAATGACACTCCGACGCCATCAAACACGCCAACGACCTTTGAGCATTAGCATACCTCGATATACAGAGCTGGGGATACGTAGAAGGGACGCGTTGCTATTGACGTTGAGCAATTCGGCCATGTTACGAATTTCGAAATACCAAGGTAATTGTCAGTTGCAGTGAATTTGCTTTGAATCGTGCGACTCGCAGTTCATTTATACCGCATGAATCGGTTGATTGGAGGTTACTGTAGGAAGTGTCGACGCGTCGCTCAAACGTGGAGAATGAGTTGTGGCTTGCGCATGCGCACAAGTGACGACTACGCGAATCAAGCGAGTGTCTTTGCAGCTGATTAATGGCGGACGCGATCTTCGAATTGTGTTGGATATTTAATGTGAAGTCTTTTCTATCGAAATTTTATATGCGTTGAACATGGTATCTGACGGATGTGTAAATGTTTTTATGGTTTGACGAACGTATTATAGTGTTTCTTTTTTTTTGTAAATACTGATTCAGTATACGATTTCTTGAGAGCCAATATTGCTCTTCTGGATATTAACTCGGAAATCCATTCTTTCTTGCCATCCAGCTTCTCATTCTTTTTCGGCTTCTCCAGGGACAGGAAAAGACGGCGGATGGGTGGTGAAGGGTGAGTCGGGGGAAGCGCGTTCACCTGAGAGTAGTTTCGGAAAGTTCTACTCCATAAAATAGCTCGTTGAAGAGAAGAAGGTTCGCTTCGCAAAGAGGCTCGAGAAAAGAAGCCCGTGGCCCACCTGAGAGAGTAACTCTTTTTCATAAAAGCAGTCTGTAGGAAAGTAGGTCTTTTATTTTTCTTCGTATTTAATTAACCACGTAATAATACAAGAGGCAAATTGTTTATGAATATAGAATAGCTACCTTGGTGCAAAAGTAGAGAAGAGCAGAGGCGAGTGGCTTGTCGAAAGGTAAAATTCACAAGATAGGAAAAGAAGTTTTCTTGTCAAGTTATTCTGTGTATAAGAATGGCACTGGTAGATGGCGGCACTGGCGGACATCACGTGAACTTTTTTTTCACTGACTTAGCACTTGTTAACGTATAAACAGAGACTTCTACTGACACTAGAAATCTATTTCTTGACGTCCCTTTAAATCTGATGTAGAATGTTATTAAATTGTAAAAAAATATTGTCGATTTTAAACAGCTGATTGATAAGCTAACACTTTGTAAACGTTGTGACGCTGATATACACTGAATTGTTGGAATAATCGGATAATGCACTGGATAGTAATACAGTGGCTGTTGTTCGTAGTTGTCAGGTAATTGAATACGACCGATTATTGATTTTTGCCTGGTAGCTGAAATTCGCTATTAAAACATAAACAGCATAAATATAATCGCGTACCTGTAGTGCCGCTACATCAGCAATGGGTTTTTGAAGTATCGGCCGACGCAAAGTGGTAGAAGTTAAATAGAGTAACCTAGCTAGAGATGAACCACGTCAATAATGAAGTTTTCTAATTATAGTCTAGTTTTACCGTGTTAGTTAAACTTCGGTTTCTCGTAAACTGAAGTTATACAGTCACTGTCGACAAACTTCGTAGTTCGTAACGTAAGCCCGGTCGTCCAATATGCTACAAATTATCCACTCACCGCTTGACCGCTTGACAGAAGGAGATAACCTAAAAAAAAAAGTTCAAATTTTTCAAATACTTAACCTACCAAACGAAAATTCAAATGAAAATATTACACCACATTCGTTATCTGATTGTAGCAAAGTTTTACTCAGAAATATTTCACAGTTATTCTCAACGGTCATTTACAGGGGCGTAGTAAGTCTGGCTACTTTTAAATTACAGATTTATATCCAACATCAAGAAAGTAGCTCAATTTTAGTGAAAAAAAAAAAAAGAATGAACAGAATCTTACCAGAGTAGTAAAAGTACTTAAGGAGTTTAATAACGTGCAATGTTTTTCTCTGAAAAATCCGCCATTAGGTATTCTGAAACCGCATTGAGAAAGAGCCCTGAAGGTTTGTGCTAGGCCTTCGTATTACGTTGAATTCTTTAGAAGGCAGCGACGCGCTTTAATAAAGTCCTCTTTCCAAGTGCCATCCATTAGATACCACGACGTTATTGAAAACTTCAAGGTGCGTTCGGAGTATCCAACCAGCGACACGTATCTACGTCCACGGTTACGCTAACGTTAAATCCCACCAACTCGAATTTAATGAAGTTCTCACGACAGCCACAAGGTATCGCAATGTCCCTTCCTCGCTACGTAGAGACGTGCGACGTGGAGAGAGTTAAAGCCTCGTTTGTGTCTTGCTCGATCGTTTCCTCATTGAAAATAGTGCGCGATGCATTTCCAGTGTACACGTAGATCTTCCGGAAAATACACTCAACAGAATTTCCGTTGACTGTCTCTCTGTGTAGATGTAAACGACATTAACGACGCGACAATGCGCCCGACCGTAGTTGCCTCTCGAGTAATTGCATTCCACTGCGTAAACCAGCCAACTGTCATAAATTAAAGCCACAAAAAAATGTTGCGAAGCAAGAAGCACTGCAGGTAAATACTATAAAATAAATAACAAAAAAAGTAAATAGATAAAAGTTCACTACGACGAAAATTTTGACGTTTCTAACCTATTGCTAGACATTCAATTTTCATTCTCCCGTAAACCATTGAAAATACTTTTGAAACTTTCACATACTAATGACAAACATAACAGTAACTTCATGTAGAAATAATTTAACACTCCACATACGAGACGTGTTCCACAATCTATTCTCGTGGACTAGAGTATCGTCCTGTCTCTGTTCACCGAGGTGTGTTCAACAGAGACATACTGATACTCTAGAATGTAAGAATAAGATTTCGAAATATACCCACGTACTCGTACTTTTTCAAAACAGAAGCTGTCAAGACGTCGAGTGGCAAATAAATACTTTAGACGCTTTCTCAAGAGACCGTGTTGACTGACATCTAGCGGCTGTCGTCGTAACCCCAGAGCAAAGAAACACGAAAGCACGTCACGGCATTTTGACAGTGGAGAATATTTGAGATACGAAATAGGAAAAAGAGAAACTCAGCGCGGTAGTACAAAATCTTTCGGAGCACAATGAGATTTTAAGGAACGATGAATATTCGCGAGTGACAAGAGGATCACGAAGGGTTAGGTTAGGACTTTCGCTCCCGGAAAAGAACAAGGGCCGATCCCACGGCGATGATAAGGTTAAGGAGCGGTAACAAGGCGAAGATATCAAACCAGAATCACATCGAGGCACCACGTTATCTCGTTCTTGGTTCAATCTTATTATTATTCCGTGCTCGACGCCCTCTGATTTAAAAATACACTGTCATCCCCTCCGCGCTCCCTTCGAGTTACGCCATTGTACCGTACTATCTTGTCTGTAGGCATCACTGCCTTCGAATTTACTGTTTAATATTGGGACTTGCCATCTCGTACGCTACGACAGAAGGAAAATCGATTGGATTCCCTAGCTTGAATAATCGTATCGTTGAATATAGTCTGATGGAGTCATGCACGAATAAGAATTACATATATCAACGTCATTTTACTTTATTACGTATACGTAACATCGTGGAGCAAAAATAAATTTTTTAAAGGAAACGTTAGCATTCCCTGTAATGTGTAAATAATGTATATATATGTGTATATACATTTAAATGTTTCATACTGTTTTTTATGAATTTTTAAAAGTCTACAATAAAAATTGAACTGTTTGAAAAATTTCATATTTTCATGTCCAATGATACATGCATGATTTACAAGAAGTTCGATAAGCGAAGATGTTTGATTTTTTAATTTTGTTTTTGTTCATCTATAACTTCTTATCTGTACAAAATGAAACGTACGAGACACTTTATAAGTTTCGGTCGTAGCACTTTCCCGCTGCACTATAGGGTGAGTATAATAAAAGAAAAGTATACTCTATACCTCGCACGAAAAATTGTTCCTGAAAGATTGAAGTAAGTTTGTGCGACGTAATCGGGCAAAGTTACAGAAAATATTTGTAAAGTGTAGATGAATTTTAAATTGCACATAACGACTACGGATCAGTGGACCAAAGTGAAGTTCGCAAAAGAGAAGATAAACTACCTGTTGCAAAACTTACATAATGTTCATATAGCAATTGAAAGTTTTCATCCGTCAGCAATAAATTTGTGTTATATACTGTAGCCAGTATAGAACAATACGAATAGCTTCAAAATATAAATAAATTTTATTTCTAGCATAAGATAAGTTTCATGTGCAAAATTATATTAGGATATTAATTTTTATTAATAATAATATATCAAAATATTGCAGGTATCGTCAAGCACGTCTTCAACAATTTCTGTCGCTGATATAAAACTACCAAGAATACCCTCTTCTGGGTTAAGGGTCGTAGAAAGCAGTGGGTGCAATGAATCGTTGGAAAGAAAATGCTTAGGTTCAGCAAATCCGTACAAAGGGTAGCGAGCGTAGCTTATTGGTCGATAAACTCAACAGTTATTAGATCTAACCAATCAAATGCATTTGCTACCTAGCCTTTGAATTTGCTGAACACGGACAATGACTGCAGCTGGATGGACTCTTATCCTTTGTGATCGGTTAGCCCCTTGGGTTAATCGCTAAGGATAATTTTTTTCTCAAAAACTCCAAAAAATATAATTTTAATTACGAAATTGTTAAAATTATTAATCCCTAATTAGATATTTCACATCACGATGTATTTTTTGTATTTTTATTATAATTTTATTTAATTCAAACACCTCCCTTTGACTTCAATCACAAAAATACTTTGAACTTTGAAATTGTACCTGCTATATCTGTGATTTTTATACTCCTCGCTTTCGATCGCCCACGTCCTTCTTTTTTGACGTCTTCGGATAAGTGTGATTTCCGATAAGTGACTATTTCAGTGTATTCTCCAAGAATCTTCTCTTTTCCGATTATTATTAACAAGAAGAGGCACAGCGTGTACGTATAAATAACTCTTAAGTCTTCAAACGTAAAAGTTCGATATAAAATTCTTTCATCCTTATAAAATATCATTGTCACAACAGTATCTCAAAGAAAGATCTCAGAATAGTTCTACGAATACAAATATAAAATTGAATAGTCTGTCCGTTTTATTAAAGTATTTTCAAAACGTCAAAATGACCAAAATCCAATAAATAAAAAAAAAATTAAGTAACGCTACATCATCGCCACAAAAAATATCCTGCGATCCCTCTTTTTAAATCCCCCCTCCCTCCCTTCCCCTAAATCGACGTCTTCAAGCTTGGAAAATATTGATCCCAATATCACAGAGTTTTCCGTGCGTCGTGTACATAATGTAAAGAACACCCATAGGTAGCTTATTCACCCCCCACCCACCCAGAACCCCGTCTACGCCCTCACAACAAAATTCCCTCCCCTCTCCTCCTCATGTTCACAAGCCCTTAACACTTTATCACGTGCAGCTTGGTAAAAAATTTGCATAACCTTATATTTCAGTTGAACAGCAGCAGCGGCATTATCGATCGAAGAACGAAAATTAATGTAATTCCGTCAACGATAATAATCTCACCTGAACATCGTGACTTTCTTATCACGTCGTATATACCGAAGCGCCACTTTGAATTTTCCCGCGAAATTACACGTTAACCAAGAGCGAGTTATAATCGACACAGGTTAAGCCCGTACCATGGACGTTTAACCAGTAACCAAACAAAATTGACAGACAGTGACGAAGCGAATATTTCAACGCGTGTAAAATTAATTCAGTTGCCTTAAAGGATTCCCTTTTCCTCTGTAAATTTACCCATATAAATGTCACCTGCCCAATTAGATCACCCCGTAGCAATGTCAAGAAGAAGAAAACAAAAGAAAGGAATTACAAAGTTAGTTCCCAATAGGATCGCGGTGGGGCGACACCGTAAATACGTAGTTCAGTTCGGTAAGCAGATAGACGGGGAAGATGAAAAAGCGACGTGTCCCATTAATTCTCCCCTGATATCCGCGAAACGTCTAACGAAAACGTTAAATTAGGAGGGTAGATGGTAGATAAGGTATAATAGAGGTCCTATCTCATTGGCTCTACGCTTGGCAACCTACACGTCGCACAAGGTAACCACTACCAATGGCATACAAGGTGGGTAGGTAGGTAGGTAAGTAGTTGGCTTGGGCCAGGTTATGTTAGGTTAGTATAGGGTTTTCCTTAACTACATGGTACAGCGTTAACGTTAATCCTAATATTAAGTGAACCCACGCGTATGGGATATGAATCATTTGAAACTACCCGTAGTATAATAATTGGACGAGTGATAGGATGACTTTTTTTATTATTATTATTAAGTTAAACAATTTGATCGTTTCTGCGAGTTTGTTTGGTAGTATTATTGTACGAGCTAGGTATCGCTTATTAATTAAATTATTATAATACAAATATGTACCAAGGTGACAGTATAGCTTGAACTGTGTAAAGTAGGATGAATAATTGTATTAATAAAAATTACTTAATTAAGCCAATAGTAAATATTGGAGTGTAAGGGTGGAGTAAATAAATAAATTTTTCTTTTATATTGTCTATTTATAGCGCATAATAGAATTTCGGATATAGAGATATTGAAGTATCGTATTTAATCGTGAGGATTATGGGTAATAAATTATTAGAATTATGGTGATTGCTAATTAAAAATTTCGTCGAGGTGCTATTGTCTAATTAATTTTTATGCTACCTGTTTATGGTAAGTACGTAATAGTGACTATAATTATAAAGAAATACACTTACCCATTAGAATTGGTAGTCTAGTCGGTATGTAAAGTACGTGCTGGTATAATTAAAAATTGAAATTGACCCCTGCGCCTGATCGAGAGAGAAATTTCCGACGCATTATTGTAAAAGTTTAGTACTAGGAAACGATATTCAGGAATCCAATTACTGGTAGTGTCAGGAAGCAGAGTGAACAGGAAGATGCTGTAACGAGAGAAAGAGAAAGAGAGAGTCGAATCGAGGCAAGGATAACGATATCGGGAATGAAGCGATAAATTCTGAGGGTAAGTGCCCGTTATTTGTCACAGTTATGGATTTGGATTCCTCTTATTTTCACACTCACCAAAAATACCTGAAATGTCAATTCTGATTTTTGTGTGTATGCAGATCAGATTGGATAAGGAAAAGGACATTGGTTAGTAACCCACCTGCACAGCTGCAAGGATTGCAATGAAAAAAAAAATGTTCAGAGAACCTATGTTTACTGAACTTACAAGATCGATAACAGCGACCTACATAAGATTCATCAAATTTTTGTACTCTGTGCCAATATTTTTTTTTAATTCCACGAATTTTTGTATTTTCTTCTTTCACGTGGCTGACAGTAATAGGATTCGTTCCAGTTGTACGATAATTGAAACACAATGATAATGATGCGACAGTACAAAAGAATAAAATTGTCCCACTTGAAATTCTATTATAAATACAAATTGGAGTTATCGATCTTTGGAAGATTCGATGGGGAATGAGATTTATTGTTAATTTACGAAAGGGACCAGGATGTACCGGTTATAACGAGTGAATTCGGGGTGAATGAGGGAAACTTAAAGAAATAACAATGCAGAGTGTATATATATATGTATATAATATGTACAGGGTGGCAAATGCGTAGATGTTCAATTAAATATTTCAGTGTGCAGTTGACTCGACGAGACAGTCGAATAGATAAATCAACTTAACTACAGACAGAGTGAAATATTGAAACACTTAAGAACAAAAAATGACTAAACTAAATTCTGACTTGTGATATACTTACGAAACTGAAAGAAACGTCAAGCAGATCTGACATATTAAATGTTCACGGCTCGTTTTACTTTCTTGCCACCTAGCAGCTTTCCAGAAGTTTCCAGCCTCTAAAAGTTGTAGGCCTTCCCGGGAGCACGTAGAGGCTCGTGCCTACTGCTAACGTGTTTAATGGCGCATAAGATTTCGCTCCTGCTCTATTACAGCATTATTACCCATTGAAAGACATAAAATGTCCACAAGTATATTGCACGAGAGTTTCTTCTACAGAAATGTCATTTTAAACAATGGTTATTTCATACCTAACCTCTTAAATCATCATACGATATGTAAATAATACTGAGCACTAAATAAATCTAAATACTAAACACTGACAGCAAACCGCTTTGATCGATCAGAAATACAACACACACGCTCGCGCATATTTATATGCAAGCTTCTATCTATATCTAAATTTATATATATGTACATATATATATATATCGGCCGCTGCTGTTTTGTTGCGATAAAGAGCTTTCGCTAAAAGCCAAACGGTACCAGGCTCGCCAGTCGTGTATTTGCGAAAGCTTCCCTGAGAAATAAATCATAGGCCGTGCCCGTGAAGATAACTATACTACTCCTGCCACTATAGTCGGACGCGTCATCCGAAATGCAAATATCGTTATCCCGCTTTTGTTTCGGTCTAGAGCGACGGCAAGTCGGCGCGCATGCGCAGCAGGAAAAAGAAAAATGTCCGACCGCACAGAAGTGACGTTCGGTTAAGTCGAAGGATCGATAAATCTATCGGATCTCTATTAACTTCAGGATATATTCACTTAACGGAACATCGTATAACTCGTGGGTTTCGCGATGGCCAATTAATTAACTGGTAATTAGTATGTAAATGTGACGTCACGTATCTGAGAGTACCCTGGCCCGAAACGGCACGCAATCTCGAGTGCTGCGAAGGCTTGGAACAACCGGGAAACCTGACTACGACCAGGCAAAGGGCGGAGGAACCACTTTGATCAGCGGAAGTGATTAACTTGATGAAGGTGGCATATGTTTCTACTCCTACTGGTTGCTACTGTGTTTGCGTATGTATACATTTATGGTTCTGGCCGCGTGTACGTACTGTATGAGTATTTTACATACAGTGTTACATCTGGTATCGTATGCACTGCCACTTACCGCCTGTAGCATTTCAATAGAACGGTGAGAGCTTTTATGGAAGTACTGAACAATATTATGTTCTTTTTTTCTTTATAGTTTTTATTTTTTTTTGGGAATTTGATTCTGGTTGTTCATTTTAAAATAACGTCACGAGTGCAATGTATTCTTTTTTTCGTACGGGTCCTAAGTGGGTCCTTAATACTATTTGTATTTTCTTTTTATAAAATCAGACTTTTGGGAATCGTATTTTGAGTTTGTGATATTTGAAAGATTCTGCAAATTTGGAAATGTCTATAATTAAATTTACCCATTCAACCGACATTTGGCTCGTACTTATTGCAGACCCTAGGAGTCTAGCTCGTGATCTCAAACCGAAGGGTCAAGACAGGAATCCTTAAAGGTACGACAGAACGTAATAGGTCTTGCTAAACTTTTCTCAATTGAATCCCTTCGGAGCTCCAGGTCAATCAATAGAATCAATACAAAATACCTTACAACTGTACGCTTTTTTTATTAGTTCCTAGGATCGTGAAAACTCGTAAAAACGTGAATGGAAGTGGCAGTGCCTTCAAAGTGAAGATAAACGAAATCGATCGTAGTATGATATCTGACTTCCACATACGTGACAATACTGTTATTCAGGAATAAGATTTTCGTAGAAGAAAAATACTGATAAAAATTGCAACCTTTCAATATTCCAAGAAACGATATAGCATTTATCGTGAATGACACGATGATTCTTTGTCGGACTAGAAAAGAAAAGTGCTCCGAAAAGTCTTCTCCGCATTGAAATTTCCAAACACGACATTTTAAGGCTTGAGAAATACTGTCATCTCGTTCGAACGATATAGGCGGACATATTGATATTCACGTCAGGAATAGATATATTTCCCATTCGATATTTCGCATTGTGATTCAGCAACAGACTATCAATCGTAGTATCGACAGTGATGGTTTAAAATATTTGACAGAGGCTAAAGGCAGACAAAAAATGTTACACGAAGAAGTCATTTGGAATATTCGTAATTTTATAGATTTTATTCAAAAATTTACACTGCTCGTAGAGCCAGGTGTAGAAAATTTTTGTCGTACGCGAAAAAATAATACTAATCAAATAAAAAATGTTTGCTACGGATTATAAATAAAAAAATGATCAATTAACGAACTTTGACGATATTATATTCCATGAATTGATATTTTCATCATATATGCATATTCAAGTTCGTTAAGTAAATCTGTACGAATCGATCATGTGGATTTTTAATAAATCAAAAACAGCGAGTGATAAAAAATATATATAGAGGGTGTCCCGAATTTCATACACCTCCGGGGTATAGCCGTCTTCGGTAGGCATGAAAGATCAAGACCTTATCCTTATCCGGAAGTTGTTAGTTTTTAAATGGGAGCAGGTCAAAGTTGACCAATCAAAATGAAGTACCAGCAGAAATTGTAAACACCTACAAACTCTAAGTTTTCCCTTGCTTTTGTGCCTCGAGGGCATCGACGAGGTGGCATATGCTATATATCCATAGTCGACAAGTGTTCTCAAACTTTGCCACCGGAAGTCGCAAAGTTCTGCAAAATACCTCTTCTACCATAACTTTTGGAACCACGTTTTGGGCCTGTTGGAAGGGGTTTAGTAAAAAATGACCAAGAATAAAAGTATTTTATTTCGAGACGTAGTATTCGAATCTGTAATAAAAAATAAGGATTTCACATTAAAAATGTATCCTCTCCATCCAATATCCCCCTCTGAAATCTACAATTTTTATTTTCAAAATCATTTTCAACAACGCGTTCCTCAAGAATTATTCAAGTGGATCTTTTCAAATGGGACATCCTGTATAAGGACCTAACGTTGTATTCACGAAACTCCTACACCTGTCCTCGACAGATGTAGAGGGTGAAAAAAAAGGACGAAGCGAACCCATTGTAACGCGGGGAAATTGAAACGAACCGATTAGAGTTTATCGTACGAAATCATCGAAGGTTCGAAGAAGGGAGCGAAGCGATCAAAGTCACGTGGGATTGCGAATGGCTGCCATCTTACCACGCGCTTAGGAATCCTTGATAACCGGCTTCGTAAAATCGTAATTTCCATTCGTCCCGCAACCCTCTCTGATCTACATCGACGAATTCCAAAAATCCTTTCGGTCCTCGTTCAGCCCCTATTCCGCACCCCTGATACTCTATCGCGCTGAACCATCTACCTCCTGGATTAATGACGAACGCGACTAAGTAAACACCAAAGGTCAACTTATTCGTTTGCTGACTTGTCCCAATATTATATATATACACTCGCACACAAAGTATATATACAGATACGTTATCCCTTTATAATACTGTTCAAACCGTCCCTCTACGTCTAGTGAGGACGTGCACGAAGAACCCGAGCCGTTTCTTTTTTAACTATTTTGTAACTCCTGTAAGTACGCGAGTTAATGTGAAGCATTGGCCGACCATGTTTTAGCCTGGAAGGAAAGTGTCTGGCAGATAGCTGTGAGTACGTCGCAGTTAGGTGGTCGGACGGTTGCAGTTGGCACGGCGCCGTATTTCGAGAGGCTCATTTGTAACTGTTATCGGAAGACTTACAAGACTTACAAGCTCACTTAACATCGCTACTGTTACTTACGTACGTCTCGATTGTCCAGAACGGTGATTTGTGCATCGGCAGACATGTTTTTTATTAACGTATTATACGAGTACAGGGTCGACGGTTTAACGTATGAAAAAGTCGCCTGTCAACATAAGCGTATACGAGTCCACGTGTATAACCTAGAAATAATTTATTTCAAAATTCGACGTTTATCGTGCGTTTATTAATTTTATAACAGTTTTTTTTTTGTCACTGCTTTGTATATTTATATCAACACGTTCCGTGCCGCTGAGCTCTCTGGACCCCCACGTATTATACGTCCCAATGGACAGTAACCGAAAAATTGGTCCGACACGGAACGTATTGATGCCCGTACCGGAAATGACGTTTCACAGTATTATCAAGCTCGATTGTCGAAATTTTCGAATACGAATACGAAATACGAAATTGTTTTATCACTGGCGATTAGTAATTGCATAAGAAACAGTTGGAAACTGGCGCGTGGGTACGAGGCTGCTGATAACGTTATCGTACTGTGGTTTTTTATTTTTCAAAATTCTTTGGAATTTATTCTAGTTTTTTTTCAAATATTTGAAAATGGCCGTTACGGTTAGTACTGCACGAAGCATCGTAATAGTCGATGCAGTGGATTGGTAATATAGTCGGGCCACTCGTATCACTTGAATATGCAGCTTAAAAATTAATCGAACTTTCGTGCATACACAAAATCTCCCTATAAGTCTTTCGAATGGAAAGCTTATCTATCGTAACTTGAGAATCTAATCTGACCTTAAAATTGTAATGCTCGAATGAAAATGACATGGCTAATGTTAATCCACGTGCTTTCTTATAACTTGACTAATTGAATTGACTATGTAATCGAAGTGGTCATAGGGACCCTCTCTGCGAGAATCGACATTTAAATTTCTAACACGGGACGATTAATGCGACCGTAATCGATCTCGTGAAGGACAACGAGGGAGTGGCGGTGGAAAAGAGATAAAAAATAATAATGAGAATCTCAACCACCAATCTCACGCTAGATTGAGCTTAGTTGGTTCGCCTAACTATAATAGGGATAGTCAAACTTGTGAAACTCGTAATGACGGAAAAGGGTTAATGAGTTTCGCGACAATGGATCAGCAGTTGGTTCCTTCAATGATTCCAATGTTATCTCAGGTATCCGAATTGATCTAATTACGTAACCCCGACAGTCCCCAAAAGTGCCAAAGATTTAATTGAACCCCTTCTCTAAATCGGATCGTCCACCAACCGACCCTCTTCCCTAGCCCGAAAATTTAACTTCTACCGAGCGAATGATAAAAATGAAGGAAAAAAAAAGAAAATTTTGAAAATTTGTCTTTTTTTATTCCCACAATAAAAGCAGTCGACGCGACTATGTAGAAAAATGTATCGAATCGATAGTAGCGTAAATCGACGTTTGTTTATCGCGCAAATGGAGAGAAATCGACGGGTAAATAATATGAAACAGTGGAAAATGTGAAACAGAGGGAAAGAGTAAATAGACGCTATGTATCCATCGGATAAGTAAATAGATCCTATCGGATGCTTATATTGTTTTGTCAGGCACGTTGATAGATTTGCTTTCGAGAGAATCTTTCAAGATGGCGTTTCTTCCGGCTCTTCTCCTTTTTGGCGCCTATTATTTACGGAAGACATTATTTATCGGTGACGTTGTTGTTATCCCACCTATTGGCCTCTATCGATTATCGTTCCTTTCTTATCGTGGAAACATTTTCGTCTAACATTTTTATCCAAGTTTATATAAATATATATATATGTATTTCGTTTTTAAAATTTTTTAATTTGTAGTTTTCAAAATTTTGAAAATACGAATTTTACAAAAAATCATCTCTGATATCTATGGTTTCGGCACGAGGGACGCATTAACGTATTGTAAATGTTATGGGGGTGATTTGTTAAGGGTGGAAACAAACATTTTTTAATTGACAGGATGGCAGCTGAAACGTCTGGTTTTTTTTACTTCCCGTGTGGTTGGTGCAGCTTTTTTTTAATATTTATTTGACCATTTATTAAAACTTTATTGAAACACAGAGTATCGGAAGCGTCTTTAGAAATCTCATGGGATAATATCTATAGCTATCTTTTCCTTCCATTTCACTGATATTCTTGCTTTTCTTTGCAAGCAAGTGGCAACCCCTCCTGACTCGTGCACCCCATGACACAGACAGTCCCTAACAAGAAAATAAATCAAAAGGGTCTTCGTGCTCAGGCAATTCGTCGGAAATCCTCGTTACCACGTTCTCACGAGACTAACGCATTCATTTTCGGATTATTCTATAATGGTAAAAAGGATATTACTGATAGTAATATAAAAAATATATATATAAATCATTGTTAAGCCTTTGGAGGATCAGGGATTATTCATAAGAACAGTGATTTTGTCATTGAAAATTTATGTATTGTAACGTAATTTCTAATTTATGACCCGACACCGATAGCAAAACATACGAGAACGAACTATCTTCGAGAACCAACCTACGTTACCTTCGGCCGTCCACCCGTCGTTCGTGCATCCGCAAGCCAGGCGGGCGCCAGCCAATTCTTTTTTCACCGGGAACTGACGAGCCGGTATAAACTGGGAGTTGGGGTGGAACAGGCCCAACTCCACCAAGAACGAGAGCTCTGACGGAACCTATCAGACGGGGCGATAGCTTAACGGATCCGGTCGATTTTTGGGGACGCGTTAAATCAGCAAACGCAACTGGATGCACGAACGGAAGCGGACGGTTACGGAAATGCGCGGCTGCTCAGGCTGCTAGGTTTGAGGTAGAGAGGGTCGGAGTAAGAG